TCCAAAAATATCCAAGAACTAATTACTAAGAAACTCATAAGAGACCAGCCACCTCGAGGTGGATCTTAACTTCCAGCGAAATCAGAAAGAAACAGCAGATAGACACGATGGAAAAAGTTAAATCGAGCCCCTGAGACAAAGTACAACAGAGACAGTCGTATGCAGCGAACAAATCCGAGAGACAAGGACGTGGAATAATCGTAGTAGAAACATGTAACAGATAAGGATAGAGAAAGAGAGAGGGAAAGACAGGCAGGAAGGGAGAGGAAAGATCCACCCTGGTGGATGATCCCGCCTCTAAGGAGCCGCTTCATGCCAGAGCCCAGCACGAGGGGGTTAGCAACTAACCCTCCTACCTCTTCCACCGCCATCTCCACCCTCTCTCCCGGCGTCCCGGCGCAGGCTCCGATACACAGCCAATCGTCGGACCGCGACTGATAACGACGCTGCCAAATGTGCGTCCGTCGCATCGCGGCCGAGTTCGCCACGGTGGTCCACGCGTTCTTCGCAGCCTCGTTACATCCTCCGGGGCTGTAATCCGCTCGGATAGCTGGCTCTATCGGCCATCGAACGCCGGTTCGCTCGATTGTTAAGTCCGATTTCCTTTCGATTTTATTCTGGATTTTCTAAATCCGCGTGTTCATTCGATGTTGCTGACTTCTGAATTGGTTTCGTTCGTCTCGTTTCTAAAGTTTCCTGCTCGTTTTCTAGAAACGAGCTTTCAGTAGTCGGTGAATTATTATTAGAGCGTGGCTGGGATTTAATTGCAAGTGAGAAGGTGAAGGTTCGAGACTCTGTTTCGGCTACCTGGTGCGAAAGGCGAACTGGATTTGACCGGTGCTGGATAAGCGTACACGCAGGACCCCGCATTGACGGTGAGTTTCAGAAATCATTGTGGACCGAATGGATTGATTCTCTGGAAGATATCCAGTAAGATTTGCATAATTCTAGAGCTAGAAGACGTGACGATAGTGAACCGTGACGATTGTTGCCCGTGATTGAACCGATAATACGAAAATAGTGATGTTTTAATAAATAATGTAATTAAAAAGAAAAAAAGAAAGCAAAAATTTGGGAAACCATGTACTTAGAATTCCAACCTTTTTGTCTTGAAATTAAGTAATCATCAAAAATGTTATAACATATTACAATAAATAGTATAGGTCACATAAAACCAAAGAGAACATACGTAAGTAAGAATCCTGATATCTTAGAAATCGGTGACTCTAATGACGAGCTCGAAATTTTGTCTGCTCTACTTCGGAATTAAGTTTATTTTGACTGATAATTAAAAGCCTTCTTTCTTTATCAACGTTGCGAATAAAAAACATACTGCTCTAATAAATACATTTAATGATGGAAACAAATTTTAAAACAATCTTGACCTTTGATCTTCCATTGATGATCAATAACAAAATAAATGCCTGTAACGAAATTTATAATTTATAAGATTTAACGATCATTGTATATATGATGTAATAATTATTAAGTTAAGTAGAATATAATTACAAGATTAATATGAAACATTCTATCTTTACACTGGTACAATGATTTAGAAGCGAAACTATACGAACCAGTAGTGAAACTATACGCTCTGTGGTCGAATCTCCGATACCCAGTGAATAAAAATCAGCACGTTTATTATTCCCGATTCTTTCCCACGGATTTTCGCGTTTATGATATACACTGCGTACGCCCTCGTGAACACCGGTCTCACCTGCCCGCACGCATGTTTCGCGTATTAACCGCTCCGGCTGTATCTTCAACGCTAAATTACCGCCCACGTTCACAATTTTTTCTGCCATCTCTTTCATTGCCCCGCATTCTACGCTGTTATTCATTATTTTTAACGCCTCGTAAATCCCCCTGTATTTCTCCTGCATTCTTCTATATTCTATATTTTTTGTTTAATCGCGCACAACACTGTTCCTTTTGCAAGATCTTTCAACCCATCGAAGGTCAACTGACGCAACATTTTATTAATATTGTAGCTAATCGAAATTCGAAACGAATTTCAAAGATTGATTCGATACTCTTTTTTTTTTTTTCATTCTTCCATCTAGAATGAAAGCTGGTATTTATGATAACATTATGATACGAAACTACTGACTTGATATCTTTAAATAAGATAAATTCTTTCTGCTCGTTAATTTTTCTTTTGATGGTACTTTGCCATTATACTACGTAACAGGAATTGAAAATTCCGTCTCGCGTCTCGTTAAGTTGTACGTAGATGTTCCTTGTTTTCCACGGGGATTCTATTTTTGTCGGCAAAGGATTCCTGTTTTTAAAGGGAGAGCACCTCGTCCAGGCAATATCCGTGTTTTTACTTCTTTTTCTATCGATGAACTTTGTCATGCATTAACTATAGATCCGCGATTATGGAAGTCGATCCGGTTTCTATCGTTGTACTAGTACTTCTACTTTGTATCTGGAAAACGTGCCTTTCATCGCCCCTTAGGCATCGTATTTTGCATATTAGAGGAGAAATACCGAGATAAGATAAGACAACAAACATAGCGCTATACTCTGATATTAATATTAATTAAGTTTTTGCGCAATAAATCGATGGCTTTTTGTGCGATTGTGTATTTAATATTACACAGTGATCCTAAGGATCAACTTTAGATAGTTGCTAATCATCTTTCATTATGTTTTATATTTATTATGTAGTCAGAATAAATGATACGTGTATAATTAAGGGGAACGTTATATTATTAGAAATCCAGGATTCTATTTATTTCTTTTTGTAAAATTCATTTTCCGCAAAAGGATAAGAATTAACAGCTTACGTTAACGAAAGAATCATTATCTAAATCATACGTAATAGGGCTCTATTAATCCTTTCAATTTTTTAATCTAACTGCAAACAAAGATTATTACTAAAAGAATTATTTGAATAATATCAGAAATAAAAGACCATTATATAGTATAATTTTCAGTAACCATTATATAGTATATAGTATATAATATTTATCAGTATCTCTAATCAAAATATTACAATGAATGTTATTTAAATAATACCAAAAGAATACAATCGTAAATCATATATCACATGATATAGATTAGTATATGAATTAGAATATAATTTCTTTTATTCGTTATTACAAGCAATAAATTATCTTTTAATTTACGCTACAAAAGAATCCAAAATTCTTCTCTTTTTTTTCAAATAACTTCAGCACCCAACAGTCATAAATCATACATCAAATCAATAAAATATCAACCATCAATCGTCATAAGCAACAAGAAAACATCATCCATAAAAAAAAGAAAGAAAGACAGAAAAGAGAAAAATATCTTTTTTCCTTTCTTCAAAGAAAGTTTAAGTTTCAATAATCAAAAGATGAAATCAGAATGATGAAATATCAAGCCACCAACAAACAATCCATCATGTAATTCTTTCTGTCTCACCGGTTACTATCAAAACAGATATTAATTACAGAATTAAATACCCACCTTTTCTATCATCCAGTCATCATTGCAAAGAAGCGATAAAAAAAAAAAAAAAACGAAACAAATCATCACGCAATTATGCTGCTGGTCGAAAGAACGTTTAACCTAAAACACAGAGGATCCAACATCCGTGCTAAGATACTGTTGCACACAAGCAAAAGCAAACAGGCCATCATCGAATCATCTTTGAAGAAAACGCAGCAAGGTAGACGCACGTATCGTTTTCTCCCTCTTTCGTATTGGAAGTACGCGCGGCCGCGTCGTCCGCGACACACTACATTTAAATAGTATGTGTAGGTACATGCGAGAGAGAGTTTAGACGAGGTAGGCAGAGGGGTTTCCGGCGAGCGTTAACAGAGTAACAGAGTGATGTAATGAGGCCCGGAAGCAGGCAATTTGCTGGCCGCGGCGGCCGCAGTTGCGCGAGACAACCTGCCCGGAGTACCTTCTTCTTGATATCAGGTCCAGCCTCTTCACCAGCCGATATCCGACAATCCTGTGTCGTCTCTGATCAGCTCAGAGCGCGCACGTGCCGTGCTCCATAGTGATCCCGCCAATCGTTCTCTGAATTCTTCGACCGATCGATCGTTCGATCTTTATTGTTTACATGGAAATACTTTGTGAACGTTTCTCCAGTGATGATTCTTCGTGGTTCCTATGTTCCTCTTCTATGTCAAGCTTCTCCGTTGAAACGCAACAATCTACAAACGTAAAAGCGATCAGTGATGACGCTGATTAGAAGTTAGGAAGGTAGTATTGAGGTGGACATTTATATATATATATATATATATATGTATGTACATCATTGATAATGGTTCGTAAATCTATGCCCAGAGGAATCTCTTGAAATCGACGAAAATTCGAAGATGTTATTCCTCGTAACGTATATATATTTTAAACGTATAATACATTATGTTCTACTAATACTAGAGAAATTGTGTAATGACATATATTGATACAAAAAACACGTACAAACAAACAGGCAAGGATTACGTGAATAATTCCTGATATCAAATTGCCACTTAATATTGAAGATTAACTGAGCGAAACGTAGAAAACAATTAAATGTTCTTTAAACGTATAATATGTACCGTGTATTACTAATGTACATGTAGTAATACTACATACATATATATATATATATGACGGTGTATATTGTTATGAAAATTTGTGTCTAGTGTGGAGATTTATAATAGAGGAATAATATTACATACGCGCACGAGAATTTTCCTGATATCAATTGCCATCTAGTATTGAAGATTAACTGGACGGGATGCGGAAACCGTATACTTGCGGCCCGCCGGAGGTGCACCGTGATTATGTGACAGTTTTGTGAACGTGATTAAATTGACCTCGATACACTGTGGACATCCGCGCGGTGCGTTCAGTTCCGAACTGTGTTTTCGCTGCTTTCCCGCTGGAATCCACGACATTTCCGACGAGATGAGAACGATGGATCGCGTCAAGCCCGATTAGAGATTTTTCAAGGAATCGTCGTTTTAACTTGGAGGGAAAATAGAAAAACGTTGTTTTTTTTTTTTTTTTTTTTTTTTTTTTTAAACATTTCTTATCGAGGAGACAATCGATGGTCAGCGTGTACGGTGTGCAGCTCTCATTTTATCGTGGACATCGACGCAGCGACAGCAGGTAAAATCCGCGTTCATTTTTCTTTCCTCTGGTCGTCATTCGTTTCCGGTTAGTCAAATAATTCACGTAACACATCGAAGGAAGTGACAGACGTCGTGGACACGCAGAGAAGCAAGGAAGAAATTCTCTGTCTATCGAAGCTTCTTTTGTTCAATCCATCGCAGATTTATTTTTAACAAGGATGAAAGATTCGCGACGATCACGATGGATATATCCAAGATACTCAGGTTATGACAAAGGCATTTCTGTATCGTAAGAAAAAGGAATGTTAATCATTTTTATTTTTAATTTTTTTTTTTTGTTGGATTGATTTGAAATAGAGAGCGTTCGTGAGGATAACGATGCAAATGTCATCGCTGGTATCACTTTCGGAATTCCGATGGAAGGCGATAAGTTGGAGGCCGCGTCGATAAAATGCAGATCGGCAGTACCCGGTAGCTGCTCTCTAAATTACGACAGATCGATTACGAGTTCCCGCTCGTTACGTGCACGTAATCTACCTCCAGTTAACCGTTCGTCCGCTGCTATCTCCTTTGCCACCGGATTCTGAAGCCTCTCTCGGGTGACTGTTCGAGATTTCCTAGCCGTTGCAAACTGCAGAGATACGTGCATTAATTATATATATCTTTTCCATGGCATTTTTTTCTACAGTTTGAAAAGCCAAATTGTGAAATCTTAGAGAAAAGTTAGACTCTCGGAACGTTACTTTTTTTTTTTTTTATGAAAAATATTCTATTAAATATTATATATTCTTTCTCAATGCACGGATTGGTTGCAAAATTTGCATTATGTTATATTGAGATTTTTAAATCTATAGAAGATGT